GTTAGTACAGTAATACCTGATAATGGCTGATAATGGCTGATGATGGGATCCTTAACGGGGATTGCCCTATGGTAATTTGACATATGGAAAATGGATGAACGTGGCCCATTCACAAATGATTTTCCAATCTATTTTTGGCGGTTGAACCCCATTCTTGGGTTTCATGTATTGCTCCTTTCTTTTGGTGGGCAAAATCTGAAAGGGTGAGTATGAAAGAATCACGACCAGCCAATCTGCACATCCCAGGGTCTCAAGAATTTGACACAAACACGAATAATCTGACAACTGATTGGTGATTGGTGGCTTCGACACATCGGAAGCATAGTTGTCACTTAGTGCAACCAATATTTGCTCTTTGTTCCAGAAATCGAGTTTTTCCTACACACTATCGCTGAACTTTGTTTGAAAGGCTAGTTCTTTCCTCCCCATGTCGAAACCTAGGAGAAGGCTACCTTGTAACGGTGCACGCTGTTGAAGCCTTTCCATCATTATCGTCGGCTGCACCTTGCGGCGTGATCTTGACACCAAGGAAGTTGGAACTTTGGGAATTCGCTTTTCACCTCAGCATGTGGGCCAAACCTGTCCCCTCAGGAAAGAATCGTCTATGATTAGCTACTTAGAACATGCCCGAAAAGATGCTACCATACAGATCTATACAGTTATACATAATTGATTATTTATTTATATTTATATATACAGTATATATGCACGCGTATGTATATATACATATATACATAACAAACAATCTACTGATACTGATGCTATCCAAGGTCCAGTGCTCAGCCATCTACTGTTATCAACTGGCTCATGTCCAGCTGAGCGTCTGGGTTTTCCATGGCTTTCTGCAATCAGGGCATCCATGCGTTCCTGCCAGGCCAGCTATGTGGACCCTCCGCAAGGTGTATCCAGCGATGGTTAATCCATGTGAGTCCCACATCTTCCCATGATACAATTCTATCGTGGTATTCCCAATTGAAATCAATTGGGTGGAATTCAAAGTCCATTTACTTCCATTTACTCCCATTTACTTCCGTCCTTCATTCCATGGTTATTCCATCCACTACCTTTCGTTGAATCATCCGCCTCGGAAGACAAGCGCCGCATCAGCTCGGACGCCACATGCAAGGCCGAGTCCTCTCCGGCGCCTGCTGCATGTAATCAGCCACGTGGGTTTAATACGGTTTAACCTGGTTGAACCATGTTTGACATGACTCATGCTTATTCTTTAGAAGTCGATGATACACAGTAACTATGTTTTTTTTGTTGTTTAACCTGGTGTAACACGATTTAACACTGCTCGACATGGTTTGAAATGGTTTGATATTGGCTTAATATGGTTTAATGGTGTTTAATGTGGGTACAGCAACATAAAACGAGGAATCGGACTGACATATAACTATATTGTAGTGTTTGCCCAGAAATTGGGGACCAATATATATAATATATATATATATCAAAAACATTGTGGGCTCAATCTGGAAGATGCGAAACGATGATGGGAAATTGCATGAAATTGCAGTTGTTTCATGGGGAAAATGAAGTTTTAATCTCCCAAATGGGGAATGTTGACCCTAACAAACGAAGCGTTCAATCAATAAAAAGCAAGAAACTGACATGATATGAACTGTTTCTGCAATTGCTATTATTGCAATAACTCGGTCCACAAAGACAAACGATGACAAAAGTTCGCATATCCCAAAGGAACTATAAGCGGTGGTGTGCCGTTCAGCATGAAGGGGATTGCCAATTGTCACTGAGGGATATCCCCACCAACAAAAAGCCACTGCCACTGACAGTAAAAAGACTGCATCCACCACACTTGATACGTCATTTGGTTCTACAGTTCTACAGGGTTTCGGAAAATCACTTCTACGCCTGGCATTCCTTCATCTTCCTTTCAATTCAATCCAATTTTGGCGCCCTAACATCATGTCAGGGTTGTAAAAAGCGCCCACGGGGGCTCAGGAAACTTCCCAACCACCCCGCCGCCTGCATGTGGGCTTCCAACCTTCGCCTGAGGCATGAAGTTCTACAGTGATATGATGTGAGATGGGTGACGTCGACATATTGTCCCGAAAACAAGTCACATGTTCAATGGTCAATTCCAGCAGTGTATCTTGGAATATCTTGGATATGTCTCCACACTGGATCCGAGTTCACCACGTTTATGTTGTTTCTTTTTGGTGCTGGATAAAGCCATGGTGAACCATATAATTAAGTCCTAACATCACAAGGATACACCACAAGCAATCCATCCCTCACCACCAGCAGCAGCAACGTCACCACCACATGCCATGCTCCGTCGGAGCGTGGCCTCCATCCGCTCAGTTGGCTCCAGTCGCCGTCTCTTGGGGTTTGGATCCTGGTGTTGGAGGTTGATCACTGCCGCAGTTGTTTCATGTAGTTTCCTTAAGTGCCGGGTAAGAAGTCATTTCAAATGGGGATACCATGACAACATTTCCGAAACAATCTATGCGCACATTGTGGGCACCTAACCCACCATGTGCACAGCTCCTTCGGCACCTCGCCATCGGTCTGCTTTGGTGCGGCGGTTTGAGGCTCTGCCTCATGGCGCCGATCTGCATGGTGACTTGTATCACAGGAAAAAAAATCTGGAGCAAGTCACGCGCCTTTTCGGGCTTTATTTCACTTTTTCCCCAGCTTGTTGCCAGCTCCCCTTCTTCCATACTTCCAGCCTTGGAATGGTCCCAGCGTTGCTCGGCCACATTTAGGCGCTCCTCGAGGCTCGCCAATTGGCTCTTGGAGCTTTCCTGTTCCATCCGCAACTTCATCCTGGCGAGGGCGGTTCGGACCTGGAACATCCCTCACGGTTCCTGGCATCCCAGTCGCAGCAATCGAGATTCTACAGGTATGCGGTGAGAACCAAATTTTCAGACTGGCGAATGGATCACCCCCAGAAAACGCACAAGAACAGCCAGGCAGCCCGGAATCCTTGAGACAGCGCCTGTCCCTGGCACTGGTGTTACCGTCCCTCTGGCCTCAGCTCCTTCATCTCCATTTCTAGGGCTTGAATTCTTCCCTGGGGACCGGCAATGGGAATCTTTGCAGTGGCCAAGGCTCTGGAAATCCCTTGTTATCTGGGTCCTGAAGAATCCCCTGCTAGTCATGGTCTCCCACCTCTCTCAACTTACTCAAATTGCAAAGGTGAAGCAAAGACTGGTGGATTCACATGATGCACTCTCCAAATTCCTCCGCCCTGACAGCAGTTAGCAAGCTAGCTGCTACGCCTCAAGCTCTTTGTGGCCTTCATGACTCATTCGCAATGCCTGAAGCTGCCAAGTGAGGTCATCTCATATCTCTCTCTCTCTCTCTCCCTTTCTCTTTCTCTACACTTTCGTAGAAGTCCGAAAGAATCTTGTGATCTCATCCCGGGTGGCTCGGGATGGTCTGCAGGAGTCCCTGCCTGAACCTCATCCTCCAAGCGTGCCAAAGCATTGGCACTTTGATCCTCCAAACATGGCTGGTTGGATGGCTTGCGCTTGGGCGGTCCGCCGTGCGAACTGAAATAAATACCCTGATATGCTGTGTACATATCCTACATAGTCCTGGTGGAACACCCATAGTCTTCACACAGCTGTCCCGGTGCCTGGAGGTCTTATATAGGTCCTACTGGGAAGAATATTGAGGATGCAAATATCCATCAAATATGGGTACATGTGAGTCAATACCCTGGTACCCTGGTGAACCCAAAACAGCTGGTGAATTGATGTTCACCACCCAAAAAATGAAATTTACATTAAATTTACCAGGTAGCATCAGGTAGCTAGGGAAAATTGTCCACATAGTTCAGTGATTTACCATTTACCCATTAATTAAAAGGGGTGATGTTTGATAGTATGCGGAGATAAAAACAGAAGGTATCCATCACTTGGCGCCTCTTCGCCCAGGCTGAAGAAGTCCAGGACTTTGCGGCTCTGTTCCAGGCTCTCAGATCCTGCCGAGATGGCGCACACAATGACCTCAGCGATGGACTCGCGCCAACGGTCGTTGTGAAATGCTTGGAAATCCATGGGGTGCTGGTCAAAGATGAACATGGATCCGTTGCCCACTTCAGCACCAGTTTCCGGACATTCTATTTGTTTATAATCCCTTCCCGGAAAAAAAATATAAAGCACCCCACAGAAAAGCCCAGGTTTAGTATTGGATCTCGTCATTTTTGGGGCCCACGGGGAGTATATTCAATATGGTGATGGGATGACTTAACCTCTGGGCTGAGTCAATCTCTTTCCTTCGGAAACTGGGAAGGAAAATCCGCCACCTTTGGCAGCAAAAATGGGTCCAGGAGCTTGGCTCCTGGCGGTGATCCATTGCATCCATTTTTTGGGCAAAGAAATGGCCAGTGCTGTGGGCGCTTTTCAGCATCCTGATTTCACTTCCAGGTTCTGTTTGGGTGTTGCCAAACTCCAGCATTCTCCAGCCACCTTCTGAAGCATTTATTCTTCATGGGTTCAAGAATCTCAGGAATGGGCTGAGCCATGCCCCAACTTCGACCTACAGCATATCTACACTATCCGCACTACCCTTCACTATCCCTGGAGGCGCCGCTCACTTCCGCGGCTCCAAATCTTTGGGATCCTCCAAGCGTCTGACCCGATCTCCGCTCTTGGGATCACATTCCCAGATCTCCACTCCTTAAGGACAGCGATGGCACATAATTTCAACCCTGGATTAATAAACCACAACTAATGATACTACTAGTACTAGTACTAGTACTAGTACTGGTACTAGTAGTAGTAGTAGTAGTAGTAGCAGCAGCAGTAGTAGTAGTAGTAGTCGTAGTCGTAAGTAGTGGTACTAGTAGTCGTCATCGTAGTAGTAGCAATAATAATCATAGCAGCAGCATTGTGTCAATCTCAAGAGCAAATAATATCAAATAAAGTATGTTCATGTCTTTATGAGGTGACCCCACCCCTTTAATCAACCACCAGGGTTTATAAATTTGGGGGTTGGTGTCAACACCTTTTGATAGATATGAGCCATCAGCCCGTCCGCCAATCAGCCAGGACTCCCAAGCCCTTGGGAGGCGGTGCCGCCAAGATCTGGAAAAAGGACGGAACCGTTTTCCTTAGCAGATGAATTTGTTGAATGCACATTCCAAGAAAAATGCTGCGGCCAATACATATGTGTTTTGATCTCCCTCTCTCTCACTCTCTCACTCTCACTCACTCACTCACTCACTCACTCACTCACTCACTCACAAATTCTCTCTCTCTCTCTCTTTTCTTCTAGCTTGAGGTCCCATTCTTGTTATCATTTGTGGCCCCATGTGGCCCCTATTCAACCCCATGTCAATGTAAATATTTGCTGTCATCCAACTTATCTTTTAAAAAAAAAACGGGCTTTATAAAATGATGACGATTTTAACCTGTGCCGACCTGTGCTGGGATCAACATCCAACCAAAAAAAACAAAACAAAAAAAAAAACGTGCTGCGATGGCCGGAAGGTCCTCACGCAGCTGGGATCTTCGATCTTCAGCCCGGGTAGAGCCAGGCCTAGTGTGGCAAAGCACATGGCCATCCGATGGTCGTGGTAGGTGCTGATCCGTGCGTTGCCCGGAGACACCTCGTTGCGCACCGGGAGCACCTCTAGGGTATCGCCTCAGGGGAGCATGGATGTGGCTAAGGGGGATGGATGCATGACCCGACTAAACGATGTGATATATGCATACAGGTGAATGTATTACATATATATATATATACATAGGTAAACCAAAACAATATGTATATATATATATTGCATCTAATCTATCTAATCCAATCTAATCCAATCCATTCCAATCTAATCCAATCTAATCTATGTGATCTAATCTGTCTCTATAATATCACATAGTAATATAATATATAATCAGAATCATATCTAGTCCAAGCCAATCCAATCTATCTAATCTAACTACTCTATCAATCTATGTCATATTTATCCCCGCATCTGTATACATTTACGCACGCCCTGGTTTATTCATGCTGCCTATGCGTGTATCTTTTCTTTGTTTTTCTTTAGTATCTACTCATCTATCCAGTGGTAATTCACTTGTCTATGTTGAATCAGGGTCTGAACGGAGAGATCCTAGAAATGAACCCATTGTCAGGGTCCACCTTAGTTTTCGGCGGCTGAGTCCAGTATGATCTGCAGAGCAAACTGCAATTGCTGGAGCCTTTTCCAGGACTAGGCCCTAGGCCAACACCCTCCCGCTGGGTCTAAGATATTCTGTGGGCCCCCACGCAAATACTATCAAACACCAACCCACGGAGAAGTGCGTATTTCAGTGCGTGGAAACCATCCTTGGCGGTGTGCCTTGCCAATTTTCTCGTATGCATTTGGAATCGAGAAGAATGTGGATGGCTGACATTTGATTTGAATCTCCAATCCATTCAGCAATCAATTCCATGTGCAGACTGCGTCACCGCTCTCTATCACTCGAAACTTGCACTTTCGCAGCTCGTCATACAGTGCTTTGACGCGCTCGCATTCCTGTTTCCTGCAGAGCTTTCGCCACAGGAATGAGAGAGCGTCGGTCATTGTTGGTCATGACATTCCTGCTTCTAGGTTCTTAGGCCAGTGAAGAAGGAGAATTGACTTGATATAACTTTTTGCATGTGTACCTTGATCAACCAACACCTCAACGACAAGAAAGCAGGCCCCCCCAGAAACGTCTGGTCTTCCTGGAAAAGGATCACAAACCCAACAAAAGAACACTTAAAATAATCTAGAGATATGACTTGGGATATGTAGGGATGGGTTACTAAATCCTCCTTTTATCTAGCAGCGTGTTCGGTTCCGTCCTCATTATCTGACTTTTTCGGTTTTGTTTGTTCATGCGTTTATGCGTATCGGTATGCCTGCATAGTGAGCACTGTAAACCTATGGTGTTCGAACGATTGCATAATATATTCATAGCACATCCTTGTGTCTCTATTCTGTTGCTCATTCTTTGCCTGTTTTCAAACCAGAGACACCCCACTCCTCAGCACTCCCAGTTGGACAAAGGCATATGGACCATCTGCCAAGCCAGAGATGGTGATGGCAGTCATGATCGAGTCACCCAAGTGAGTCCTTGACAGATTTGATGCGGGATCTGTGTGGGATGAATCGCTAATCTGCTCACATGCAACATGGGATGTATCGAAGTGTACCGGGTATGGTTAGAACTGAGACCCCACTCTCTCAATGGATGTGCTGACCTCTAGGACCGGGTTGAAAAGCGATCAAGTGTGTAGTAAAATGTGACAAATTCTCACTGCCAAGTCTCTTTCTAGAGATGATGTAAGGGTCATGGATGTTCTCATGCCCCAGCAAGCTGCGAGACACAAAATAGTAAAAACCTGCACGATAGAAAATCGATCAACAAGCCAGAGTCTAATGGAATGACTGCACCGTTTCTCTCAGAACCATCACATTGAAATTCAGTGAGAGCTTTCCTGCTTGGATGTGGTGGCTGTTCATGGTGGAACCATTTTTGAAAAGCATATTCTTTGCATTTCACAATGTCCAGCAGTCCTGGAAGTACTGCCCAGTACAATGGTACAATATCCAAGAGAAAAGGGCCAATATGGTCCAATCTTCAAGCGGCCGGCCTTTCCAGCACTCAGCCACCTGCTGTCTCGCGCTGTACATCTTCTCATTCAGAGGTGCCAGCCTGGCCAAGGAACGCTCGAAATATCGTGAGGTAGGGTGAGGGCCATGCAGTACGTTTGAACTTGGTGCCCATTGCATCCCATTGCCACAAGAAGAACCAAAACATGTTCCAAAACATTTTCCAAACCCAAGTGGCAAAGCCTAACTTGCGCCCGGGCTCCAAGTTGTGTCGATGTCAGTCGCCCCAGTCGCCTGGGAAACTCGGCATCAATCTGCCAGCCGGTGCCACCTTTGCATTTGGGCGGCTGGCACGCCAGAACCTTCACAGGCTGAATCCTCCCAAACAAGGCGTTCCTCAGGTACCGATGGATGCACGCCGGCATCTCAAAACTCTCCAAGGCACTACAAATATCTGAAACAAAAGAGCAAGAACACTGCAAAAGCCCATGTGGAATACATATTAGAAGTTGGTTCGGAATTTTGTGCGGATATTTTTTTCCCAGGACATAGCCCCATATCATGGCCCAATGGCTGTTTGAGTTGTTGAGGTTGCGTGGATTTTTCTTGTGACGATTCTTCATCCTGTCGACATGAACAAATCATTAACCCAAGGCTCACAGCATGGAAGTAGCTTGCACTAGATGCATCGGCCTCAATCTGGAACTCTCCTGCCATGGGCATGCAGTGATAGGGCTACAAATTCCCACTCGTTCCTTCACAGTTTGGAAAAGCAACCTGCCATCAAATCCCTAGAGCATTCTCAATAAGCTATAGGCTTTTTGTTGTAATGTTTAGTAAGGCATACTGTACATAAACCATCATAAACCACCCATTGTTGATGGTTTACACCACCCACGTATGGTAAAATTATGCAAATTTGGGGTGGATCCTGTTGCTTTCCCAACAGAAAAATCCTGAGCCCCGTCCTCCATTGTGTGGGAAAGCCTTCAGCAGCTCACGTGTCATCTCCTGGCTTTCACTCGGCGCACCACTACCCACCAACACTGGGGGCAATGACCAACACAAAATGGAGAGATGTCACAAATGAAGAGGATATCACTAACAAGAACCATCCGAATACTAGTCAGGAACTCATAGTGAATGTCATCAACGCTCATTAAGCTGCCGTAGGTTGGGGAGAAATACTGCCCACTGACCGCACAAACCATGGTGGTAGCCATCCTGGCCCCTGTTTTCAATCCGGGTCTCCACGTAGGGCAGCTCATCTGGATTTGCACCAGCAGGGATGGAGACGTCCCACTCTCCAGCGCGGCTCGAAAGGAGCAAGGCGCTGGCAAATTGGGAGCTGTCCTGGCCCAAAGCTGCCTGGGATCCCTCAACAACTACGAGATTGTTCCTTGTTGGGGGTGTCCTCCTTACAAAATTACGTGAAACGGCTAAAGAATCTTTAGCAGTTTAGCACAACTACATATAAGGACAAGAAAGGATGAGACAGCAAGCGCGGGCATCCTTTCTTTTTCTTTCCAGATTCAAACAGGTAGGGTCCCAGCGACATCCAGCGACTGGCTGAACATCTGTTCTCAACATCATCACCAGCTCAATCTGTCCTCAACACTCACGGTGACGGAGCCGCGCACCGGCCCTTTTCCAAAGAACAGCGCTGGCAGTTTGTTGTTGGGTGTGTCCACCCGGTAACCCAACTTTCTCAGCGCTTCGATCAACTCCTGGAGCACTTCAAACAGCAAAGGGAAGTGCCTTGATGTGCCTTGAACCCCCAAACGGGCACCATCTGGCAACACTTTATAGAAAACCATATCTGAAACCCGATTCCTCGGGTTCTATGCGTGATTTGAGAAGTATACCGTATACCATTGTTGGATCATCATGCTTCAAACATTTGGTACAAGTATCCTCGGATTCTTTGATCTTGTTCCACAAAGTGATCCATAGTGAGGTGACAATTATATTATATTATATTATATTATATCATATTATATTATATATATATATATTTATGTAACGCAGAATCCAGGAACGGACGCAATGCCAGCTCGGGTTTCCACCCATCAAGCAATAAAAATTAGCTAAGAAAACTATAATTCGGGATAATCTTGTATGTTTGCAATAGGGCACGCCAAAATGCCATGGTTGATCATCATGTTTTTTTTCCAGAAATTTGCAATTTGGGGTAGAAAAAACCCAGTATCCCCCAAATTGTGGGACAAAATCATGTACCCTCTGGTAATTTAACATAGCTATGGAAAATCACCATTTTTCATGGGAAAATCCACTATTTCTATGGCCATTTTCAATAGCTATTTTGACATAACCAGAGGGTATATCCCATTAATCATCATTAATCACCAATAAATCACAATTAGCCATGATTAACCACTATTAGCCATTACTAACCAATAACCAGAGGGTAGTTGAAAGGTTGCCACAAACCCCAGCTGCATGGGATACCACGGGATCTCCTTTTGTGGACGCTCGTGCATGCGTGGCACGCCCGAGATTCGATAGACACCATGGCCGAGGCAAACCATCGCCTTGGCGTGCTGACCCTTGGTGAAACCAACCCATTGGGGCTGCCTCAATAGCCATAGCCTTGGTCTCCGTGGTCTCTGTCTCCGATTTTTGGATGATTATGATGATTATATCACATGATGCACACATCAAAAAAAAACCTTACATCCTTGTTTGGTTGCTAAATCAAATGTCCCCAAATATTTAAACGGTTCTAGATCACCATTCTGTGATGGTTCCTCTTACTTCATCCCCTTGCTTCAATTTTTTGGCTCAAATCCAAATTTGCCACGCGTGTGCCCCATCATCCCACCAAACAAATTGATGATAGCCCATCAAAAGCCCCATCTTCTAATGTGGCTTCAATTTTTTGACCCCAAAAAAACAAGGTGGGCCAGAGAACCCAAAAGCAAGACGGCACACAGCACGCCTTTTCTTGAAAATCTTGGGGTGTGGCCAGCCGTGCTCTGCACGAAATCGACGTAAGATCTTTACTTAAACATCGTGCGCACTGATGGTATCAGGGGCCACGATTCACCACAGCATGCTGTGTCAGCTACGCCTACAGTCTTCTAGTCGCTATTTCTGTTAATGTAATTAACTCTATCCCATCTGTCTAGTCGCTATCTATTTCTGCGTTCTCGTTTAGTTTGCTTCGCCGCAGAGGGAGCGAGCACGAAGCGTGGACGGACAGAACGAAATGAAAATTAAACGACAGAGGGAGCTGACCAAAAGAGCATGAAAACGAAGATATATATGAAGGTGACAGATGGCAAATGATCATGAAAAATGAGACATGATACTTGAGAGGGAAGGGTGAAAGATCGAAAGGTAGGCGCGGGTTGGAACAGGAGAAGAGAGCAAGGGAACGAGGCATATCCGCTGCGGACGGACGTGGGTGGAGTTGGGGCGGATATCGAAAAAAGTCTTCTGGGCTTGGACTCGAGGGCGGGTACCAAAAAGGTAGGTTTCAGGGAGGGGGGACACGACACACACACACAGACACACAGACATATATATATATATAAATACATACATATAGTTAGATATATGTATAAATATCAGGTTATGGGGTTTGCGAGGCAACGTGTAACTGGGGGCAGCACATTGTTGCAACGCGGATGGGGTTGATTCTGGTCTGTACATGTGTAGAACAGTGTGGGATTCACAAACGTGGTGTTTTGACCCCAGCATGTACCCAAAGCAACTGACTTAGGGCTATCCTGGTGCTGGAATCTTGGTGCAAAAAGTGGGCCCGCGGGGTGACTTCTTGCAAACGCGGCGTTAGAGGCGGACCTTGGGGGAATCGAAGGGGGGGTTCGATATAGTTGTGATAATTATGTTCTAGTTATTATAGTAATTCTAGTCATTATAGGTGTTCTAGTTGTTATACATGATAACTATATATATACGAATATACATATATATGAAACATATTGAAATGTCATTAGCGAAGTCTTTTGGTTGAAGAGAATATCTTGGAGGAACCCTTGCGGAAAATCCACCAAATGATCTAGATATGCTGAGCAAGGGGCAGCGATTATGCTTCGGCAACCACTAGCCAAAGCGCAATATCCCACAATTGCTGGGTAGAGTATGCATATATATATATATACGAATCTATATGTATATTGAGATTATTTAGTATATATATATATATCATGGAATTATTATGTGTATATATATATAGATACATATCTTTAAGTATATTGTCGAAGGAAGTTGAGAAGCTAAACTTCCGACAATATGGACAGATGAAAAGCAGAGCAGGGCAGAGGCAGAGAGAAGAGAAAGTTCAGAAGAGAAAGAGTCAGAAGAAAGAAGATGCAGATGCGCGAAAAGGTAGGAAAGTCGCGATTCCCTGTGTTTTTCCAATGATTTGTGGTTCCGGAGGGTCGAAAAGTAGGCTCGCTAAAGCGGCGGGTGCGGAGACATATGGGGAGATGAGACATGAAAAATTGCACGCCGTTGTGGCGCGAAGCACATTTCCAAGTCAAAATGCACAAAACCCCAGAGGATCGGACCACTTTTGGCGCTTCAGATGTCGAAAAAGTGCACGCCGTTGTGGCGCGAAGCACATCCCCAAGTCAAAATGTACAAAACACACCAGGGTCTGACCACTTTTGGAAGTTGCGATGTCGAAAAAGTGCAAACCGTTGTGGCGCGAAGCACATGTCCAAGTCAAAATGTAGAAAACACACCAAGTGCGGACCACTTTTGGCACTTAAGATGTCGAAAAAGTGCACGCCGTTGTGGCGCGAAGCACATTTCCAAGTCAAAATGTTAAAACACTAGGGGTTCGGACCACTTTTGGAGGCTCAGAGGTCGAGTTTCGAAAAAGTGCACGCCGTTGTGGCACGAAGCACATTTCGAAGTCAAAATGTGCAAAGCACCAGGGGTTCGAACCACTTTTGGAGGC